CCATGAATCCATAGCATTGAACCATGACAGTTAAAGTGATATCAAACAACCTTAGATTCACAGTGTAAATGCACATTGAGTGAAGAGTGCTGGAGTACATCTAAATTGTAGAAGTAATTCAGTCTGACACCACTTTAACTTCTATGGTTCGATGTTATGGAGTTCTGGGAGTGGTAGTCTGATGAGACCTCAGCCCAATTTGGCAAATAAGGGTGAAGAGCTCATGAAACTATAATTACGCATCGCTGAGACATTAAACTTAAAGTCAAGCTGTATTCCAAATTGTATATGCAGCCTTGGTCTTCTCAGCACTAACAAAGCAGCAAAAATAGAGATCATGATGCTGAACATTGCAATGACCATTTGCACTGTGATAGAAAGATGGAAAACAATCCTTTTAAAGCAAAGATTCTTAGCCAAAGTATCCAGTTTGTACCTGCTGAAACTAATTGTAAAACAAAGCACAATCTCTAGAGAAATTCACCTACTTGACGGCTTACACAAGATGTGGAGGAATACAATCTGTTCAAAATTGTATGTATGTTTAAAATTGTGAACTGAATACCTAAAAGGGATATAATGAAAAAAATAGATGGCTAAAAATGTGTACATTAAACAGAATGTATCCAGAAAATGCAGATATTAGGGGAAATGATACAAAATATGAATACATTTCCATGTGAGAAGGAGAAAAAACCCTCTCATAGGCTGAAAGAACAAAGGATTGGAGAGGAAGGAAAGTAGATTTGGAGAAATACAGCAACATTGCAGCAGAGTTTTCAACATTTATGGTGGTGATATTGTTGTGTATGGAAGCATGTTGCAGCCACTGGGCTGGCACCATTCCTCAATCGGTGTGATTGGCACTGGTATTGTACAATTTCAGTTAATTTTAGTGCATAATTCATGGGAGAGGGAGAGGATCAACACAAGCTCTTTTGAAGGAGAGGGAGTCTGACCCAAGCCATACGGAAAAGAATGTAAATTATGTTTCCAATAGGAATCTTAGTTGAGATCAACTGGCTTGTGGCACATCATGAATTCATAATACGCACTTTTGTAATAGAAAACCTTTATGCAGTAATGGAGCTAAACACAATGTTTTGTCAGTGCCGAGAACAGAATTTGCGGTCAGTTAATCCAAGCATCTTTTAATACACCACAAGAATGACACCCCATTTGTTATTCGTCATTTTTAAAATGGTTTTCAGGTTTTCCGTTTGGTCTAAATTCAAATGTTAATGGTGCGGAAAATTAATAAGTTACCCCCGTTGTGACCTGGAGGGCTCGAATCCTTATTCATGAATGGCGGTGTCACACAGATTTGTTATTTGTTATTCAATAAAAATTTCCATCTGCTGAAAACCAAATGGCCCATTTTCTTCATAAATCTCAGATGTATCTGGCTCTTAACAGGCTTCTATTGGAAAAATGTACAAGAGAAGATGTCAACACAGGCACCATTTTTTGCAAACCAGGAAAACTGATGTTTTTAGACAACCACTCCTATCAATGCTTTAATTGTTTATGTTGGCAAGGTCTACTAGGAATAGAAATCTATCATTTGGAATTATACAAGTTCACCACTCTGTATTTTAGCTTGCATTTTAGCCTGTATTCTTTAATCTGTGCAGAACAAACTTAAATTTTAGTTGACAATCCTATATACACTTAGCTGAAAGCTGGCCACATTGAAGTGTTTACATCTGAGTAAACATGTATAGGACTACTCTGTTAATGAAACTGGGACTTTCTATCGATTAATTTCATTGCAGAAGAAACAGCTAAACTAAAGCTTTTTGTTCATGGGCCACTTTTTACCAGGTCCTTAGATGTCATGGGCAATCCCTTGTGTATGAGTATGATTGTCTTCCAAAGACAGAACCTTAACAGTGGCTCCATAAATGACAATGAAGACCTATTTTGGAGCCACGTGATTTTTCACATTGAGGACATAGATTTCCAGATAAAAAACAGAAATGACAAGGATTTGATTGACACGTTCCTCCCTTTCTCCCTCTATTTGTGCCTCTTCAAAATCCACAGCATTGTTGGTAACAGCTGACCTCCAGTTAGAATGCTTGAGGGCCAGGGTTTCTCAGTGTTTATTCCACATTTTTTAAGGTTTGCCTTATGTCCATCTTCAGTGGTGGTTACTGCTTTGTGATATGGTTCTTGGACATTTGGACAACATGGCCAGTCCAGCAAAGTTGATGGCACAGAATAATCCATAGCAAATTCATCTTGGCTAACAAAATAATTAAATTCCTGATTTTGCCCATCTTCCTTCTTGGACTGGTCTGTTGATAAAACTGGGTTTTGGGGCTTTTCAACTTTTAAGAGATGAGCAGAAGGGAAGTAATTAATTAATTAATTTCAGCAGGGAATTGGGGAAACTTTCAGGGAAACTTTTATTCTATTATTAAAGATGCATGAGCCCAGCTGCAACACAACCCAGCAGAAGCAACCACCGATTCATGTGATTTATGTAGAAAAGTTGTACAATGTTGCTATTGTGTAATTATTTATTGTATTTATTACTAATGCTATTTAGAAAACAAAAAAGTTACAAAAACCTGCAAGTGAGTTTTGTCAAGCAAGTTTTTGGGCTTTTTGAGAAGCTGATGGCACGAATGTGCAAACCGAGGCTCTCTCACACCTCCTTTCCCTCAAAGACAAAACGGTCTTAAGTAGGCCTTGGAGAGACACAAGGCGAGCTGTCCTTCTCAGTCAAATGGCATCAGCTCTTTTTGCATGGCTTTTTTCAACTTTTCATTTGGTATTCAACAGCAGATTATTTTCCGCCATATTATTTCATGGAAAATTACTAGGGTTCCAAAAACTGCTTTTAAAAGTATTTTTTGCATTTATAAAATACTGTGGGGTTGAGTTCTATGATAGATAACAAACTCAGGACACATCCAGACAACCTTTTAATCCTGGAATTTTTCGCATTTTAAAAATGTAAATGTTCCAGGGATCTCATCCACAGATGCCCCGGAAAATGCATGCTTTCTGGGGTGGGTGCCCAGATGTTCCTGGAGAATACCTGAACACTCCCATCCCAACCCCCCCCCCCCAACCCCATTTTAAAAATAAAAGAACTTACCCAGCCTCCATTAACATATTACCAGAGCAATCCTGGTGTGTAGGAATGACGTGCTAGGAGAAAGGGGGGCAGAAGCAATTTTCCTCCTCCCCCTCTTTCTCCTGGCCTGTCATTTCTACATGCCAGGAGAGCTCTGGCACCATGCTGATGGAGGCCAAGTAAGTTCTTTTATTTTTTAAAAGAGGGGGTTGGGGTGTTTTGGGGAGGGGTTGGTATCCTTGCAGTTTTCTGGACTACTGTCTGGACTGCCCCCTCAAAAGCCCAGAACTTTTGAGGAAGCAGTCCAGACAGCGGAAGTAGTGGGTTTATCCTATGCCTTCCAAGAAGGTGCAGAATAAACCCATTAACAATTAAATTCACAAAAAACCAGGGTTTTCCTGGTTTGTGGCGAATGAATTCATGTTTCTCTGGGATGTCATATGGACGGCCCTCTTTTATTTGCAGGAACTCCCGTGTTAAAGGGGCTGCCTGGATGCACCCACAGTAGATACTCAAGTTTCATTAGATATAATGGCATAGTAAAATGGCATCCCTTGTATAAAATGGCTGACAACTAAAATGAGTGCTGGAGAGAGCTGGAGGATCTGTGGAATGGTGGGAGACTATAGCAGGGGAATTCTACATGACACATATTGCTCAATCTAAAATTGCAAACTGTTGGCTTCTGCTATGGATACACAATTTTTGCAAAACAAAATGAATAAATAACAGTTTGTGGTAGATTGTATGCAGTTGAACAGTCATGCTATAATTTACAATTAATGCCTCTGTGATGCATGCTTCCTAGATCATACTAATAACACTGTTTGGGTTTGGGCTTCATAATGTCAATTTATTTAATATTAATTTTAAATTACTCCTTGTTTTAAGCAAATTGAGAATTTATTTATTATTTATTTGAAACATTTATATTCCGCTCTTCCAACCCCGAAAAGGACTCAGGGTAGAGCACAACTTATATATGGCAAACATTCAATGCCAGAACATAAAATAAACTATAAATATAAATAAACACTAAATTCAATTATCTCCCCTTTAAAATCAATTGTTCAAAGCCATCTCAGATCAACATTCTCCCCCCTCCACCCAAATGTTATTGTTTTATTTTAAGCAACAGTAAAAATACTGTAGTAGTGGGGAAAGGTATACTAGTTTGGAATAAATATCAGAATAAAATCTATAATTGAGGAAATCAATAAAATTTAAACAAAATCAATAAAACAAGATATTATTTGGAATACATTTGCACTACATACTATCAGTTTCATTTCTACAGAGGACACTGGTATTTTGTTCAGATAGTTTCATGAATTAACAAAAGTGAGTTTAAATCAAATTGCCACAGGGAATTGAAAGAAAAAGCTATTAAAAAGTATGACTTCTCAGACAATGCAAAGTTTTAGCTTTACTTAAGAAGGAATGTATATCCAGAGCCTCTCCTGTGATCTCTTTCTTTAGATTTATATCTGGAATGAACAGTTTGTGTGAGGTTTCCATAAATAAGTGCTCCTCTGTGGCATTATATTTTATCCCATCGATTTTTGTATGCTTGTTGGATACAAGGAAGGGGTGGTGATAAACCTTTGATATTTCTTCCATATTGAGGCATTCTACATTGAGTAGATAAATCTCTACTAGAAAAGAGTCTCAGAAATATACTGCCGATAAATTAGCTCTCACAAAGGTTCATCACCCCCAGATTGCCAATAAACCAGCCCTCAAATGCTAACTGGCCCTTAATTATATACAGTAGCATCACTTCACATTGCTTAAAGCAATTCCGTGCCTCATTTTTTTCCAGCCTCTGGTGAGATGTCCTTTTTTTCTGCTGGGGTCTTGGGGTTAGATGTAAGTGGTTATTCACTCCTAGTGCTGTCGGTTTTGATTTCAGGGCACGCAAAGCCAACTGAGCCTCCTGCTTCCAGAAACAACAGCGAAGACAGCGCAACTGCACAGCCAGGTAAGAATACAGAGGGGAGGGCTCCATTTCAGAGCAGTCTTTTTGAATCCCTGGTGGTTTTCTCAGAAGGATGAGGTGGAATATAAATATAGAGAACTCTCCAGATCCACAGGCTCTGACTCTGGAGCCTCAATTTCCACCAACCACAGATCATCACATCCTATACATAAATTACAACAATGTGAACACAGACACACTCAACCATCTGTGTTCATGTTACCACCATTTAATAATATTGGAGGTGATCATCCACTGACCACTTGCAGAACTGGAGGGTTCACTGTAATAGGGACAGGCATGGAATTTAGGTTCAATTTATTCTCTGTCAGAATGCTCGGAGATTTACACAGGTCTTCATATTAGGACACACAAAAAATCAATACTTTAAAAATATGAATGCTGGAGAAATCAAAAGTGGCAGATCTATACCATTTCATATTGAGACAAAGGGATGACAAGGAAGAAGATCAAGTCTTCCTTTGACTTCTTGACTTCTGTTCTACTGCTTTTCTTCTACCTCCACAATAGAAAGCAGGAGAAAAGAGGGGATGGGCTGGCTCAATTGGAAGCAAACTTTAAGATCTGCAGCCTTGAAGAAGAGGATCCCAGGGCAGGTGCCAGTTTTACCTGCTTGACCCAAAATAGCACTCGTAAGGGTTGTGTACTGCACTCAAACCAAATGAAGGTTTTATGTGAACAAGGAGTGTACCCTTGAGTCCTATGGGATGGATTCCAGATTCATGTTGTCCAACCTTTGTCTCTCCAATAACTTCCTGCATCCCCATTGCCAATTGAGAAGGCATGGAACTGTGTGATGTAAACAAAGGAGCGAGACCAATGTAAATTACTTTTTGAGGTAACAAATTACAGAATCTCCTAATCAGTATGGTCGTGCTGGCTGAAAAATTCTAGGAATTGTAGACCAATAAAGCAACTTTTCCATGTTCTACAAGAAGGTTGCAGGGGAGATTCCCTGCAGAGATTTGGCCCCTGGCCTGCCAGCTAAATTCCCCTACCACATAATTCTCTTCACAAAAGTAGCAGATATGCATGTGTATCAGAAGCAGATTCAGATGTGGCTTAGGATGTGTCGATTCTTGGCAACCAGGCATTAACACTTCCACATGGAGACCTTTTGTACTGAAGCTGCAAAGACTGCGTGGGCAGCTGCCACTTGACATGAAAGATGCCAAACATGAAAGAGAAGTAGTGCCAAGTTCCAATACACAGATGTGGTGGCAACAAGACACAACTGGTTACACAAAATCATCACACTGAATCAAGCAGTTGATATTTAAAGGTTAAGTCAGAATGATGTGGTATACACAACAGTGCATGATTAGTGACCGCAAATATTCTCTGCATGTTCTAAGAACAAGAAGCATGTTGCAGATCTGCGTGTAAGCCAGTGATTACTGGTGGCTCCCATATCAATAGAACAATTGATCAATTCTAGGTTTTAGTCCTGATTTTAAAGGGTCTATACAAGTTATTGAACCCATTTACAGGGAGTAGATTCAACATGTTGGATAGTTTCTTTACTGATTGGAGTAAATCCCAAAGTAGATCTGTGATGTCAACTGTTGTATATTAAGCAACCTGTTTCTACTGCAGATAGGCTTAATATACAACAGTTGACATCACAAATCTTTGGGTTTGCTGTCTACCGTCAAGTTATTTCTGACCTAAAGTGACCTGTCATGAGGTCTTCTTAAAAGGTTATGCTCAGAGATGGGTTTGCCTTTGCCTTCCTCTGAGGTTGAGAGAGTATAACTTGTCTAAGGTCAACTGTGATTTCCATGTCTGAGCAGGAATTAGAACCATGGTCTTCAGAGTCATAGTCCAACACTCAAACGACTATATGATGCTGATTCTTACAGATTTTACACACAGTGTATTAGGATATCAAATATTGGTCTACCTATCCTTCCTTCCTGCTCTCAGTTTTCTAAACCATATATTTATGTTTTTTTTTAATTTGGGTATGTTGAGTTTAAATAATCACCACTTTAATAACAAAACCTTTTTAAGAATAGAGTATTCATGCTCTGGTGCTGTCCCTGAAAGCACTCCCCAAAGGTATTTTTGACAATCAATCATTAAGCTTATTTTGAAAACATTTGATTGTAGATTTTTAGATCTGGAAAAAAGAAAAAAAGTTTGTACTTTAAGGCACTGAGATGTCAAACTGCCTTTGGCACTCCTAAACTGCTACATCTGCCTTTACCTTCATTTCCTTGGTCTACTCAAACAAAAGCAAAGCAATTCCTTTCAAACCATTTTATTTAGCGGTTTAAGTGATTAGGCCAGAACAGCTGTTAAATACCCTTTAGGAAGTCATTATCTCCAAGAACGAGTACAGGTAGTCCCCAAGTTACAAACAAGATTGGTTCTGAAGGTTCGTTTGAATTTGTTGTAAGTTGAAACAGTTACATTTTTAAGTTGTAACTCAAGCCAAATATATATATATATATATATATATATATATATATATATATATATATATATATATATATCTTTTAGCTTTGGATAGCATAGGGGAGGGTTAAAACCCCTGTGGTGTTTGTTTTGCTGTCTGTGCCCCTGTTCAGAAGATTTCACCTCACTTTCTATCCCTGTGATCATTGGACTTTGGAAAATTTGACTTGTTGTGGAAACAAGGATTGGTGAGAAAGCTTCAGTGGAAACATCTTCTCCCCATGACAACTGTTTCAGGAATGAACTTTCCTTCCTAGGGGTAAATAAAAAAATAACTTTTTTTATTCCACCCCATCTCCCCAAGGGGACTCTCACTTTCTCTCGGTAGATTTCTCTCACTTCCTCTTGTCTCACCCCCATTCTTAAGTATGAGTTATTAATATGTCATATGTTTGTAACTCGGGGACTGCCTGTATATCAAATTGGAAAGAAACTGATTATTTGAAAGAACACTAAGTAATCAGACATAACCAAAATGATTAACACTTCTGAAACACACACGGTGTCCAGTACAGCTGTTAAGAATACAATTTATCAACATGCATCTACACATCAATGAGCCAGCTTAGTATAGTGATCTGAATGTTGGACTATGACTCTGGAGGTCAGGCCTTAATTCCCACTGGGAGACCTTGGGCGAGTCACACACTTTCAATGCCAGAAAATCTTGAGATAGGGTTGCCATACTTTGAAAATGACTTGAAGGCATGCAATGACCATGAAATCAGGTTCACACATTCATCCTTTATCCTAGAGAGGGAAAGATCCTGAATTTCTCAGACATCTTATTTGCATTTCTGGATGTGCCATGGGCAAATTAGAAGTGTGTAAAGTTATGGGGGGGGGGGGATGGTGCAACCCCTCCTCCACTGGAATTTCTCCCAGTAAGTGGTGTTTACCTCATTGCTGGTTTTTGAGGTTATCCTGAGCTCCGTGTAGATTCACCTCAGTGACATTTTCATCAGACGGGCAGGATGTTGTGTGGGTGGCAAACTCTGTTGCACCCTTCCCACAAATAGAGAACTGAGCAGATTTGGGGTTGTTATTGCTTTTCTTTAGTGACCTCTTCCTTCCTTCACCTGTTTGTCTGGATCTGAGGACTTCTAGGGCAACCTATAACCAGGCTGGCTCTTGACACAATTCATCTTGGAATTGTTTGGTGGAACCAAAGTACCAGACTGTGGACCAACCAATAGCTAATGGGTTTGTAGGATTATCGACAGCAAGGGTATACAACCTGAGACCACCCAAATGTTCTTGGTCTGTAATTCCCATCATCCAAAAATGTGGCCCCAAAACTTGCCCTGGACTTATATATGAGGCCAAAAAGTATATTCAGTAAACTAATTTTCAAAATACAGAGGTGAGAAAAGCTCAGGCTAAGACAATAGGACATCTATTATCACTCCAGGGAGCACTTCTTGTTAATGCAGAACTGATCTTCACCTTTGCTCTGGCCTTTAGACAGAAAGCAAGTAATTATGAAGTTTAGCCAGCATTTCCTAGTTTTAAGATTTCAGATAATTTGTTGTTGTTAACTGGCATCAAGTGAACATAGTTGTTGGTTTGTTGCTATTTTTCATAAATGTAGAGGAGGAGTCAAAATGGGGACCCTTCCCATTGCAACATTAGGTGGTACTACCCATTGTATTGAATTTGAAGGCTGAGGCTAAATGCTTGGCAGCTGAATTTGTTGAAAAATATTGGATTTGGGCTAAAGTAAGTTGATAGGAAATTTGTTAAACCCATTCATAAACACTAGTCAGTAAGTAAGAGATGATTGCTAAATCTGAATTTATAAAATGAAATAAAGTTGCTTGAGACCTACAGAATGTCAAATTGGTGAAAATCATGATATTGTATAGAAATTTGATTTGTAAAAATAAGAAATAGCTTACTGATTCACTTATGCAGTTACTCAGACAACCAGATTATAGAACCATACAGTTGGGCCAGGATCTCCAGCTATAGCATCCCGAGCAGGCAGCAGTCCAGCCTCTTTTTGAAGACTAACCTTGTAACAACACCTGGGCCCACACCCCTGTGACATCACATGTCTCTAAGCCGCAGGATTTGGTCTTGAAATCTCAGGGCCTGAGGTAGCCCTGACCTGGCCTCCCAAGATTTTTTTCTCTCTCTTCTTCACTCTTCTTTCTTTTCTTTCTTTTTCTTGCTATCTTTGGCCTTACGACCTTCTCTCTCGGATCCTGTTTCACTCCCCTACTCCCCAATTTCTTCTTTCTTTCCCCACATGCGCTATCACCTCTTCTCTTTTTCTCTCTCTTTTTTTTCCCTTCTTCTTTCTTTGTTTTTCTTTCCCTGTCAACACTATTTGTATATTTTAAGAAAAGCTAATAAAGATATTTCAAAAAAAAAAAAAAAAGACAACCAGATTATAGAACCATACAGTTGGGCCAGGATCTCCAGCTATAGCATCCCGAGCAGGCAGCAGTCCAGCCTCTTTTTGAAGACTAACCTTGTAACATCACCTGGGCCCACACCCCTGTGACATCACGTGTCTCTAAGCCTCAGGATTTGGTCTTGAAATCTCAGGGCCTGAGGTAGCCCTGACCTGGCCTCCCAAGATTTGATATATTTGTTCTACATTTCTTTCCCCAGGAGCTCAGCGGCTGCGTTTGATGAATGGAGGAAGTCACTGTTCTGGCAGGGTGGAGGTGAAATACAATGACACCTGGGGCATGATCTGTGATGACAACTGGGACCTTGCTGAAGCTGCTGTTGTGTGCCGGCAGAAGGGTTGTGGTGAGGCCATTCAGGCTCCAAATGCCTCTTATTTCCAGAAGGGAACAGGCCCCATCCATCTGGGAGAAGTGAGATGCTCTGGGAATGAGTCTTATTTATGGGACTGTCCTTCTGAGAAGAGCCCTGACTGTGGACACAGAGGAGAAGCTGGTGTGATATGTTCAGGTCTGTTGTTTGATGTTTAATCCAGAGTTGATCCATTTCCTAAACTTGGGCTGATGGGGAGGATAAACACTTTATCTCCAAAGACCAGCAACAATAACCGCACACCACTTTTCACCACACTAACTTATTTAGGATAGAATCATAGAGCTAGAAGAGGCCAATGGGCCATTTAGTCCAATCCCCTGCCATGCAGGAAAAGCACAATCAAAGTACCCCAACAGATGGCCATACAGCCTCTGTTTAAAAGGAGCCCCCCAGTCTTAGAAGGACAAGAGGAGGAAATCCCTCAGCCAGCATGGCCAGTGATAGCTGGAAGATTCTGAGCACTGTAGTCCTCAAAAGTAACTTTTTCAACTTCAAGGGCAGTGTTAGGACAGACTTGGCTTGGTTTCCTCATTTGGACAGCTTTGATGAAGATAGAAACACATTGTGTTTCTCCCTTTCTGTTCCTCTACTGAAAACTCCCATGCACCCAGATAGTGGGAGGTCAAGAGGAAGCTGAGATAATTCTCCTTCAGTCAAGCTGGTCAGTTGTAGAACAAGCCAACAACATCTACTCTTGATCCATCTCCTCATTATGGAGAGGCCAAGAGCTGGTATAGAAGGAAATGACAGATACCAGTTGCAACTATGTTCACTGGCCTGATGTTGACTGTATGCGGACAGCTGCTCTAATCCACATGCCCACTTCAGATGTATTCTGACAGTTGTGTGGTGTTAGATGCACATCCCTTCTCTTGCACAAGCCTAAAGGGAAACAGCAAGCAGAAATGCCATCTGTAGTTTTGGATGGTTATGTATGTTTTGGTTGCAACTCATCATCATTTCTGGGAAATGTCAGCTCCCTCCCCACAGGGCTCAAGGTTATTTTAATAGAGATTAGCACTTTTGCTGGGACAGATGGGGACATCAGTAGGACATTCCTTTAAAACTTTTTCAATAATTCCCTGTGAAATAAACATTATGTCTCCAAAGGCCCAAGAGCCAGGGAAGTAGTGCTAAGATGTTGACGTTCATGTGTTCTGAACACTTAGCGTGTATCTCATTTAGGGGGTAAGCATACGCATAGCCTGGTTTTTGCATGAGAGTCACCATGATGTACTGCCCTTGCTCTGTGTGTTAGACTATAACTCTGAGAGACCAGGGCTTGAATTTCAGCTCAACCATGGAAACCAGTGGGTGACCTTGGACAAGTCACACCTTTTTAGTCTGAGATGAGGGCAGTGACATATCTCCTTTGAATTGATCTTGCCAATAGGATAGTGTCACCATAGGTCAGAGTTGAAATAGGGAATCTCTGGCCATGGCATTTTGGACTCATTGAAGTTTTCAAGGAGTTTTCAAAAGAAGCCCCACATAGAATGTGTTACAATAGTGCAAAGAGAATATACCCAAAGCATGTGTTACTGTAACCACAATATGGCTTCTCAAGGAATAGTGCATCTGATGCAGTTGTGTTAACTGTGGAAATGCAGTCCTGGTCACTGCTGAAATCTGGGCATACATGCTCAGGGTGGAGTGCAAAAATGCACCCAAACATCAAACATAAGATTTTAGAGGGAGTGTAAACCCACCCATTAATACATTCTATAATATTGAAACAAAAACACAAGGATTTTTGATACTTTTTGTATCAAAAATTAACCAACATTATCAAAGGAGGAGAAAGAGGGAGGGAGTGTGTATGTGTGTGTTAAATTATTATCTTATCAAGAGTGTTCATTTTCTAAATAAGACAGATATTCATATTTGTTATTAGCTAATATATAGTTGCAGATGTTCAGGGGTAAGTGATAGACATTTTAGTTGCAATTAGTCAAGATAATAGCTCCAATGATTTTATTGCATAGAATAATAGAAACACAAAGTTGGAAGGAAGTGCAAAGGCCCTCTAGGCTAATATCCTTGCAAGAATCCCCCAGGCAAAGCATTGCTGACAGGTGGCCATCCAGCATCTGTTTAAAATATTCTAGCAAACCCACCACCTTCTAATATTGTTTGTTCCACTATCAAACAGCTCTTACCACCAGAAAGTTGTTCCTCCTTGTTAGTCATAATCTTATTTCTTGTAATTTGAATCCATTTATTTATTTATTTATTTATTTATTTATTTATTTATTTATTTACTTTATTTATATACTGCCCCTCTCAGCCTGCAGGCAACTCTGGTCAGCACCAGGACCAAAAAAATACAATTCAAACATTAATATAAATATAAAACAAGTAAAAAAACAATCAGTATCAATACAAACATATATCATTAGAGTCTCCTTGTTAAAAATAGTGCCCAGTAACGTAGTCCAGTCAAGTCGTTCATCCTCACTCTCCCCAGATTTGAACCTCCAACCTATCAGTCTTCAGTCCTGCCGGCACAAGGGTTAAACCCTTGTGCCGGCAGGACTGAAGACTGATAGGTCGGAAGTCCAAATCTGGGGAGAGTGAGGATGAGCTACTTCTGTCAGCTCCAGCTCCCCATGTGGGGACATGAGAGAAGCCTCCCACAAGCATGGTAAAACATCAAAACATCCGGGCATCCCCTGGGCAATGTCCTTGCAGATGGCCAATTCTCTCACACCAGAAGCAACTTGCAAGTCGCTCCCAACGTGCACACAAAAAATCATTAAAGGAGGCTGTCTTTTCATATTTCTTCTTTTGCATTGTATAGTAGAATTACTTTCTATTTTGAAGATAACTCCTTTAATAGATTGCGGTAAATACCTCATTCACGAATTCTCTGCAATGACAAATGGACATGTAAAAATGATAAAAGAACAGCTGTGAAGTATTGACATCCACTTACTATTAGTTTATCATATCTGAAAGAGTAGGAAACAGGAGAAAGAACAAATGTATTCTGATCAGTGACCAGTTTGTAAATGAAGGAAACCATTCTATTTTGCACTTCTTATCACTTAACTGAATATACTACACATGAACCAGATACACAATTCTTGCTGGATATACAGCTATACCTGGAATTCCACCCGCTTATGGGCTCTGATGTCCAGCAGCACTTTCCACTGGCCCCTTCCTAGCCATTTCCCCTTGGCTGACTGCCTCCTTTCCTCTCCCACAACCTTCACAGATCACCAGGCATGGCGGCTGTCAGGAGGCTTAGATGCTTGTGCCGGCCGAGTGGAGGTCTATTACCGGGACATCTGGAACACCGTATGTGATAGTAGCTGGTACCAGGATGAGGCAAATGTCCTCTGCCGCTCCCTGGGCTGCAATGACAAAGCCTCAGTCACGAGGGTACCTTTCGACCACACGCTGCCAGGGAAGATGTATTATGAATGTTCTGGAGATGAAGAGTCACTCGCCAGTTGTGAATGGCGCTACAACAAAACCACCCTATGTGACCAATTCAGAGCTGCTGGTGTGATATGTAATGGTAATTAGTACCTGAATCAGTCTTATGGCAAAGCCCTTTTCAGGTGTTCTTGTTTAGAGGGGAGGAGACTAGAACTGGCCCATTACTATCATCACCTCCTACTATTGTTCTCATCCATCTATGTGTGCTGAAGATGAGGTTCAATGGTAGGGAACCTTTTATGTCTGAACTGGTTCCTTTACAATGTAGAACATTGGTTTTCTGTGTCTCCACGTTACTTGGAAAGCCCCAACGAGAGACACATAGGTCTGGAAAAACAAAATTCAGACACTCAACATGTGAAAGGTGATGAAAAGGAGAAAGAGGGGAGAAATTCTACCTCATAGATGTTTTATCTGCCTGAAACAAGAACATCAGAAACGAGGTTGTCTTTCTCATCTCTCTGATGTGGATTTCAAGCATAGAGGGTTTCAAACACACTTTTTTCACTAATATTACCCACCAACATCTGTTTAGCATTCCCTGTTAAAGATCAAGGGCTTGCTTGCATTATTTGCCTAATCAAACTTTAATTTTGGTTGAATGCCATCTTTAAAATGTGAAACAAAGAGATGCTATGTTTCAAAATTTGCTGAACGAAAAGAGGTCAGAACAAAGCCCAGTGAGAAATCCTGCCTTAAGCCTGGTATTCAGCTTTCTGCAGGCAGAATCATGCCCATGTCATTTTCTCTTTTGGATTCTTGCCACTTAAAAAAACATGCTTTAGTATAAAAGTACTACACATGTTTCTATGACAGAGTTTACAGGTGGTACCAAAAAGTGACTCCTGTTTTCTTCCCTCTTTCTCAAGCTGTCCTAGAATATTCCCTCAATCTCAAGCTGTCCTAGAATATTCCAACAAATACAGAAGATGCCCATCAAGTATAAGGATAAGAAAAGGAGGAAAATATTTAATTAGGCATTACAGAAACAAAATAATGGTCAATTATAAACAGGGCGATCTGCTGGGCATTCCCCCTCAAAAAATTATAGAATCAAAGAGTTGGAAGAGACCTCATGGGCCATCTAGTCCAACCCCCTGCCAAGAAGCAGGAAAAATGCATTCAAAGCACCCTGACAGATGTCCATCCAGCCTCTGTTTAAAAGCTTCTAAAGAAGGAGCCTCCGCTACAGTCCAGGGCAGAGAGTTTCACTGCTGAACAGCTATCACAGTTAGGAAGTTCTTTCTCATGTTCAGGTGGAATCTCCTCTCCTGTAGTTTGAAGCCACTGTCTCACGTCCTAGTCTCCAGGGCAGCAGAACACAAGCCCACTCACTCCTCGCTATGACTTCCTCTCACATATTTATACATGACTATCATGTTTCCTCTCAGCTTTCTCTTCTGCAGGCTAAACATGCCCAGTCCTAAAGATGTGTGCCATCATGGCTGGACAATGTATTCTTCCAGATAAATCGTATGAGTAAAAGGGAGAGAGACAGTAAGTCCCTAACCCTGTGACTTTTCTAGGTTGGACTTGTAATCTGAATCTTCCAGGTGTATCCTGGCGAGTGCGAAGAAAGAGGAACTATGCTCTGAACAATAGGCTTCTGATCCCTAAATCTTAGCCTTTTTAGCAGCTGTATTATACAACTGGCTCATACTGGTCTATGATCAAAATAAATGTCATTCATTCATTCAGCCTGTAAATATACTCCACTAAAAGGCAACAGATCCCACCTCATTCTCAAAGCTAAGCAAGGTCTGCCCTGGTTCGTACTTTTAAGGGGACACTGTCAGAGGAACGAACGGGCAAAACTCCTCTGAGGATTCCTGGCTTAAGAAAATCCTATGAAATTCATGGAGTTGCCATAAATCAACAGGCAACTTGAAGCCAACAGTACACACTCACAAGTCACATACATTCTTTTCATATGTTTCACTGTCACATTAGACCTCTCCCATCCTGTATTTGGATCTTTGGCTTTTTATATCTGTATGGTTTTGCCCAGTGTTTTAGTCTGTAAAGGTTTGTTTTTAAATCTTTGATTTTTTTGTCTTTTGTGGTGTTTGCTGTCCCTTCCAATTTTGGTGGTATTTAGAAACTACATTAGAGCACTACATTAGAGCATAAATATATTTAAGTTTCTAACAATTCAACATTCAATGTTGAACCAAGGGCCTAGGTCAGAGGACTGGGGCACTGCACTAGAGAAGTCTCTTCAGCCTCAACAAAGCCAGAAATTAGCACTTATGAGTACTTTCAACCTGTTCACTTTCAGAGAGACTGGGGAAGAAGGCAGGAAAGGGGGAAGGATCAGGAAAGGAAATGCTACAGATGAGGGAGAAAGGACAGGATGGGGTCAGTGTAACAGCCAAGAACCAGGCACCGAGCTAAGAGACTAGAACTTGGAAAAATACTTTTTGAATGAAAACTCCTAGAATACTTTAGTCAATGTGATCCACTAGTAATAGTAGAGGCACAGCCATGCTACCTGGGGATCCTGAGAGCTGTAATTTTCAAAAAGCAATTTGTGCAAACTTTGTCAAAACCATTGGCACACACACACCCGCCATCTCATTTGCTTGAATGTCAATGATGTATGATGGAAGCAGCAGATTTATTTCTCATCTGTTTCAGAAAATGGAGTGTGGTTTTGTAAATGTGTTCCATGCCAAGACTTCCCTCTCCAATGCAGATGGTAGAACGTGACCCAAGCAAGGGTTGGGTCGCCTTCTGCCTTCCCTGCTGTTTCATGGTCTTCATGCCACAATATGGTTTGGCATCCCTGGAGAGAGTGATTGAGATGTCATTTGGCAACTGTCCTCCTGCCACAATCTGGAAACGTCTGGATTGTGTGGCAAGAGCAGCAAGAAAGCTTATTTGGGAATGTGTGTGTGTGTGTGTGTGCAAAAACTACCATTGCAGCAGGCATTGCAACTGGAAAGAGGAAACTGTTGCCTTTTATGGGAGAAGAGCTGTTTTGCTTCCAGTCTGTGATGTGCTGCTCCCATGCAGCTGAAGAGTATTTAGCTTTCCAAGGGACAATTCCAGTGCCATTCATTGTGCCCAACAATGACACCCACCACAGATGAAAATACTGAAAGATGAAATCTAGGCCAGGGTTTACATATAGGGGAACAAAGCATAAGAATTCTGCCCATCCCCATTACTTTTTTTCTCCACTTCCTACATTTCTAGCAGAGAGTGAGATATGGAAAATTATGCACATTTAGAACTTTGCTGTATTTACAATCCCTTCATGCCTTTGCATGTTCCTTATTTCTAAATGCTCAACTGAAGATTTAAGTGACTGCTATGTCCTCATTTTGGCCCCATGTAGCCATGCCCCTGAGTCAACAATCCCTTTAGCTAATTGTATTTCTGTCTCCCTCTCTCTAAACCAGTGGTTCTTAACCTGTGGGTCCCCAGGTGTTTTGGCCCACAACACCCAGAAATCACAGCCAGTTTATCAGCTGTTAGAATTTATGGCAGTTGAAGGCCAAAACAGCTGGGGACCACAGGTTGAGAACCACTGCTCTAGACCTAAACACACATGTTTCTTAAGTGGTGGTATTGGTTCTTACCTTCTCCACTTTTCCTCTTGATTTTAGGTTCATTGGGTTTGGAGAACCAGACAGACACAACAGTGGCAGAAGCAGTGACGGAAACTGTGACTTCGGTCTCCCACACACCCAATCCATGTAAGTTGGGAATCTTCCTCCAAGATGCCTTCAGCTGTGGACAATGCTACCTCCATGCAATTGAGCTGCATGTTGCATCATGAAGGCGAGATAGCTACACATGGCCAAAGTACAAAGTGTTGGTTATAACCTTTAACGCCCTACATGTTTTGGGTCCAGGCTACCTGCTGGGTCGCCATCCCCCATCCAATCTGTCTTGTACATTCAGGTCCTCTGGGGCACATTTACTCCAACCAGCAAAAACTGGCAATTGTCACCCAGAAGACCTTTTCATCAACTGCCCCTAGACAATATCTGTCAGAAGACATTCAAGATCTAAAAGTACTGTCAGAATTTAAAGTTGAATTAAAAAGCGATCTCTTCTGGCTGGAATATCCAATCAATTTATAGTATAATTATTTTAATGTGTATTTTAATCTTATGTTTATGTGCTTTAATTTATTTGCCATCACTTGTAATCTATGTGTTTTTAGTTATCTGTTGCATTGTAAATATGTTGTACCCTGTCTTGAGCCTTTCAAAAGGGCAGGTAAGAAATCAAACAAAAATGTATTATGCACAGATGCATTGGAACAGGAAGCTTTCAAATGGTTTTAATGGCCAGATCATATCAGCACCACAAGGAAGTAGAATGTCCAACTGGCAGCTTGACACTTCTGCAGGAACGATATGGCACTATTATTTACGTTAAGGCAGGGTGGGTGACACTGGTAGGTCTCTGGACTACGTACCTGTCCCAGGACCCTCTGCTGTCACCATGGGCTACCAAAAATAAGGGTGGTGGCAGTTGAAGTGGTGGCAGAACCTCCATCCACCACTTTCTTCTCCTCCCCATAGTGAGTAGAAAGCATGTGGGGAAATCTGATTGCTTTGGATTAAGGTCCCCTAAAATGACCCTAGAGAACTGAGCACAGAAAGCAGGGTGAGCTGAGCCACAGTGGAAAGGGAGCCCTCTAAATAGCAGTACCTTAAAGGTACCAAATCCTATCTGGTCTTGGAAGCTAAGTAGGTTCAGGCCTAGTTAATACTCAAATGGGAGACTACCAGCAAATACAGGTTCCGTGAAATAGTAAAGAAAACACAGAAAGGGCATAGCTTGTCCTCTGTCTTCTTTTCTTCTTGCCCGCTCTCCTCCAACCAACTTTTCTTATGTTTTCTTTTTGCAGGTTGGACTAGACCTGAGAACTGGGACCTTAAACCATCCTACCAGATGCTGCATACCCTCTGCATTGTTTTGGGTCTTCTCCTTTTTCTGGCCATCCTGAGTCACATCATCATCATGTTGCTAAACAGGCAAAGGAAAAATGGTATCCTTGGTATGCTGGAGATGGCAAGCACTGTAGCGTAGAGTCAGATATGTTATGTAAATGTAAAGGCTCTGCTTCCAATAATGGAAATGCACACTGTCAGCAATCGTTGTCCCTAGCCGTTAATTGCCTCCTGTGAATCTGTTACAATATTCTGCTTCCATAACATTGCAAGTAATAAAAATGGTAAAAACTTCTCTCATGAATGTAAACATGCTTTTTAAATTGGAAATAGCTTGGTGAGAAGCACACATTCTGAAAAATGCCTACAAAAATTAGTATCTGTTGAGATATAATAGTGAATGCAATGTTTTAATGTGCATTTGATTTTAATTTTAATTTTTAACTTGTGTATTCTAACTGTTTGTAGTCCAAAGGCATAGAATTGTTGCCATATATAAAGCCACCTTGAGTCCTCTTAGAGGTAGAGAAAGGCAGGATACAAATAGAGCAAATAAATAAATAAATAAAATATGTGCAAGAAAATATGTATAAAGTGTCATGTGAACTTTTAAGGGGGTAGTTAAACAGAAACAAGGATTATCTTAACTTTAAAAAAAATAGAAAACTAACAAAACTGAGCCTGAGTGACAGATTTGTTCATCCCTAAAATATATGAGGCTACTATTGGTGTGCCTTTTAAATGCTGGAAGGAATGCCATAGTAAAGAAGGAGCCTATGGACCTTATCACATTAGCTGCCGGCTCCACCCATTGCCCCATGCCCCACATAGCCCGGCTTCTCCCCTACCCATCCCATAGGGGGAAGTGTCCACTGCTTGGCTCCCCCCACCTTCATTGTTTCCAGTGCAACACAGGATGAAGAGGAAGCAGTGTATGCTGCCAAATTTGGCCCGTTGGATGAGGTTGTATTTTCAGAGCCACTCTTAGAGGATGTAACTTGCAATTCTTCTTGCAGATTGTGCCATTTCCTCTGCTTCCATATCTGCCCCAGTTCTGGTGAATCACAGTGCGCAGGTTTCAACCACGGGAGTGAACAATGACTATCGGGAAATCCCCACAAGCCTCCCCAAAGGAGAAGGTAGAGGCAGCTCTAGTTTATTTTCTGGGCTAACGTGGTCCTCCATTTCCCCTGCATGTAGCTTCTCTCTCCTTTCCTCTCTCTCTAGGTGTCATTCACCACTACCACCTTTTCTGACACCTAACACTTTCCACATTCAATGGTTTAGCTCAGAATCAGCAAAGCAGTAGCAGATGAAGTTTTTCTTGGATGGCTTTAGGAGAAAGATAGTAGATTACAGCATTATAATACAGCAGGTGGGAGTTGTAATATAACTCTTTCCACCTTTGCTGTGATGTTGAGGAAAAAGCTTAACTTGAGCTGCTGTTTGCTTTTGAGGAAAATTCTGGCATGTATCCACACTGTGCAATTACAGCAGTTTGATCCCTCTTTCATTGCCATGACTCCATCCTGTGGAATTCAGCAGCTAGTCGTTTGCTGAGGGACTTTGAATTCTCTTTCCATATCTGTTCCCAGCTATAAGTCTTAGGATTCCATAGCTGGAGCCATAGTAGTAGTTTGGGTGGGTCACGCTGCTGTAATTACCTAGTTGGTATTTATCAGGTGATAGGCTTTCTCCTCCCTAAAGTAAAATGAAACCTTGTAGGTTAAATGCAAAATCACTTTAAATATTTCATGTAGCTTGGTCACAGATTGTGAAAAGTACTCATTTGGACTACTTCCAGACTTCCCTTGTGGTTTGGTTAATTCTTCCAATCCAAGAAATATTTTCCCCACAGTCTTATTTTGGTTTGAACACTTCTCACAACAGGAGGGGGACAATGATGCCATAATGCAAAGACTAGTCATAGGAGCAGAGCTCCAGTAATTTAAAGAAAATATACTCATTGATTGTGCATGCTTTTTAAAAAATTGCTAAACCTTTTGCCAGCTAAGCTCTTTGCTGTGTTGAGCCATAACAAGAAAGCAACAACCTCTCTTGTGCACATTTCACTGAGAAATTGGGGTTCACACCTGACCTGAAAGTCACTAGACCAGTGGTTCTCAATCTGTGGGTCCCCAGATGTTTTGGTAAACTGGCTGGGATTTCTGGGAGTTGTAGGCCAAAACACCTGGGGACTCACAGGTTGAGAACCACTGCACTAGACTTTCGTTTGTGCTTCAGATTCACAATCAGAACCTCTGAGGATGCTTGCCATAGATGTAGGCGAAACGTCAGGAAAAAATGCCTCTAGAACATGGCCATATAGCCCAGAAAAATCTACAACCCAGAACCAAAAATTATTCATTTGTTTACATGAGAAAAAACGAGCAAATGACTTTTGCCTCGAGAAGCTGCAGTGCTTGCATTATAAACACATCTCTTATTAACTTGAGTGCATCACATTTTTTTAAATGCTGAAAGAGTAGTGTGTGTAGCTTTCTCCTACATAAAAGCTACTCCCCCCCCCCTCCAAAAATTCCATCCATTATGGACAGAATTGATACTGTATTATTGCATTATGATGTAAAAGGTAAATTGCAGGAAGGCCACATTCTGAATTCGGCCTTGAGAAGTCCAAATATTATTTTTTTTATGGGAACCATCCTCTTGCTACCTGGGTTTACCATAAGTGAATAATTCTCTTCTTCAGGATGAATGTGTGTGTGCACGATATACACATTCCAGAATAAGGTTACAGGCACAACATCTAGCATGCAGAAATCAAGATAAATATATATCTCACTAGCAGTAACAGTGTTTTATGAAAGGCAATACTGTTATTATTTTGAGCTTTAACATATGTCCTGCAGTCTGTATTTCTTGCATTTCACTTCCCTCTGCCCTGTAATGTTTTCAAAATGTGCTATTATGCATTTGTCTGTTTTTAAGGGGCCACAGAAAAACAGAACAAAAAACTTGGTATCTTTTGGGACATGACAACCTTGATGAATACAGGTTGAGTATCCCTTGGGGCCAGAAATGGTCTGCATTTTGAGGGGTTTTTTTCCTGGCATTTGGAACACTTACATATGCACAATGAGATATTTTTGGAGATAGGGCCTAAGTCTAAACACAAAATTAATTTGTGTTTGATATATACCTTTTACACATAACCTCAAGGTAACTTTATACACCATAGTAAAGGTAAAGGTTTGCCCCGATATTAAGTCTAGTTGTGTCCGATTCTGGGGAGTGGTGCTCATCTCCATCTTTAGGCTGAAGAGTCAGCATTGTCCGTAGATACCTCTAAGGTCATGTGGTCAGCATGACTGCCTGAAGCGCCATTATACACCATATTTTAATAATATTGAGCACAATACACAAGGGGTCCCTATCATGGCTACCCATGTGGGCAATTTTGGATTTTGGAGTATTTTGGATTTCAGAATTCTAGATAAGGGATGCTCAGCCTATACATTCCTTTTATTCCTATTCTTCAGGAAATGTTTCCAGCTGGCAATAAATGTTGATAACATTTGTTTTCCCACAGACTTTTGTAATTGAGAGTCTTCAGTCTGACTTCTAGTACTATAAAACATTTTGTCAACATAAGGGGAGATATATAGTGCTGGTTTTAACAAATTCCACTATGTAACATGATTTTTGTTTCTGGGTTATAAATGCCATTTCCTAATTGGTTCTATCATAAAACATGGAAAAGGTTTACAAAACTGCCAAAGCTTTGTTTTTGTGGGACATCCTGCAGTACATTTTGCTATAGTTTTTCACTGAATATATCCCCAAGTCTCAACCAATTCAACATAGTTTGTGGAAGCCATAAAAAATGAAGTTTCTGGAGTATAACAAGTACTTTCAAAGTAAGTACCACACCATTAAACAAGAAACAACAGTTTCAAGCCAGGAACAGAAATCTTTTCAGATTTTGTTACATAGTGTTCTGCGTTGCTTCTCCATCATAATGTTGATGTTCTCTTTTTCAGCAATGCCAGTAAAACCATCACCTATTAGTGAGGATTCTGAGTCTGACTATGAACGCTATGATTTCAGTGACAAGCCGCCTGTGGCACTCTCCACTTTCTACAGTGAGTATCTTGCTGCCCCACAGACATCTGTAGGCTCTTCAAGGCCCAGACAGATTTTCTGCCGAAGATCCAAGACATATTTAATGTATTTAATGTAAAAGGCTCCAGGAAGCACTGAAATGTGATGCTCAGGGAGCGCATGTTTATTTCTTCCCTGAGTGACACTTTTATAATCTAAATTTTCCTAAGGTGGTGTGATTCCTTCAAGGGGGAATATGATATGTACCTCCCCCCGACACACGCACCCTATGGGGCTAAAAAGAGCGAGGAAAATGACACCGCTCCTTCTCCAACACATCTGATGCCTTGTAAACCTGAGGAGTCGTTCCTTCCAAGAGACCTGGTGCCTTTTCTGTTCTTGAGTATGAAACCTGGCCTTCTACAGACCCCAGAAGCTAGGGCCACCTCCTAACGGCATAAATGTTAGTTATACAAAAGACATGTACATTTTCAGACAAAACACACTATTTGTGATCACTGCAGCATACAGATTGTACCGATGTCTCTAAGTACTAGTTAGAGCTTTCAACAGTTACTTTTGAAACTACAATTCCAACAATCCTTCCACCAACATGGTCAATGAATGTGCTGGCTGGGGAGTTCTAGGAGCTGTAGGCATCCTAAAAAGACAAGTGAGTCTTACACAGCTCCGTTATTTCAATATAAGTCTACCTACACTCTGACATCTCTATGGGAGACATTTCTCTCTGTCCCTTCTCCTGCCCAGGCACATTTGATGGAAATGTAGGAGAGGAGCTTCTCTGTGGTTACTCCTTTCCTAAGGCAATTAGACTAGCTCCTTCGTTATATATATTGTCAATGGTATGTTGAGGCATTTCTATTCTCACTAGCTTTTTGGAGCTGATTTTCAATTTTATAAAATAATTATTATGGTGTTGTACAGTTTTTTTAATGTTTTACATATTTTATTATTAGTGTAATAATGTTTTAACCACAATGTTTGTATATGTTTTTAACTATAAGGTGACTTGATTGTAGTTTTCTTCATTTTGTACATCACTTTAAGTCCCAATATGGGGAAAAGACACAATATAGGATGGGTGGATGAACAGAACTTTCCCAAATTTTGAGTAAGATGATAGTCTGTAGATCAGAGGTTCTCAACCTGTGGGTCTCCATATGTTTTGGCCTTCAACTCCCAGAAATCCTAACAGCTGGTAAACTGGCTGGGATTTCTGAGAGTTCTAGACCAAAACACCTGGGGACCCACAGGTTGAGAAGCACTGCTGTAGATCTTCCTAGGCAAAAGCGTCAAAAGATAAGGAGCCATTCCAAGGAGGCATGCGACAATCTTACTGATATCTGCTTTTCTAAGCCTCTTTCTCTGATGTCTGTTTGGCCACAATTTCCAGATTCTCTTCGACATCGAGCAGCTGAGGAACACCTTTCTCCAGGCAATTTAGGCATTTCTGCTGTGCACAATGGAAGCGAGACCAAGGATCCAGCTTTGAAGGGCCACAATCTACAAAAAGGTGAAAATTTGCAATCTCTCTTATGCATGCCTACTTGGTAGGAAAATGTCATTGAACAAATGGAGGACTCCTCAAAGTACACACTGTGCTTAGAAAAGTCTTTGGGTGTTTCGGTGAAAATAGTTGGAAAAGGAAATTTGCCCTTCTTCAGCGTTGCCTGCCAATGTTGAGTCCTTTGGGGTCTCTGGCTCAGCATATCCATGTTTTTTTTTCCAGCAGCACATATAGCAGAAGACAGTGAGAGCACATCTTCTGGAGATTCAGAATGGTACGAAAACTTCCAAAAATCAGCATACAAGGGAGACCAACCAGGAAAGGAGCCTTTTGAAGGTGAAATGCAGCAATGTTGTGAATGGAAACATCAAGCTTTCAATTAACTAGTAGATTTATTTGCTCGCCCTGAGTCCTCACAATGTAAAACACTATTATTCCAGTTTAAGTATTAGAGAAACAATATATGGGATGAGATAGGGCTTTCAGAAGGCCTTCCACACCTACTGTTCTTTACTATAATTTCTGAAGTGGGATATGTATTCAGTATTCACTGTCCTAAAACAAATAATGGGTTGAGCCTTGAATAGCCAACATGTTAGAAATCATTCCTTGCACTGTTTTGTGAATCACAAGTGTTTATTGCCATTCTTGTAGGTCAGGGCTTTTACAAGTTATATCAGGTGCCAATCACTGAAGGATTTTTCAGTATGTGACACTTTTATTGTGACGGTCAATTGCCCCCACTCCTGTATTCTCATTCCACCAGTAGGCACAAGCTTTTTAAATATTTAGGTGAGTTTTTGACTTAAAAACATGCAACAATAAGATTTTAGGTTGTTGTAAGTTTTCTGGGCTGTATGGCCATGTTCCAGAAGCATTCTCTCCTGACGTTTTGCCTGCATCTATGGCAGGCATCCTCAGAAGTTGTGAGATCTGTTGGAAACTAGGAAAATGGGGTTTATATATCTGCGGAATGCCCAGGGTGGGAGAAACAACACTTGTCTGTTGGAGGTAGGTGTGAATGTTTCAATTGGGTACCTTGATTAGCATTTAATCAATGTGGACAATTTCAACAGAAAGGAAGAAGCCATGAAAATGAACAAAATCTGGCTACCAGTATTAAAAAATTATAAAATCAATAACAGTAAATAAAAAACAACACTGAAAACAGGGCAACTCCAGACAAGAAACAATTAGGGACAGCTAATCACCTCTCAACAAAGGATTCCCCAGGCAGTAAGAAGCCACACCTTGAAACTGCTAGGCCATTAAATGCTAATCAAGGTAGCTAATTGAAACATTCACACCTACCTCCAACAGACAAGAGTTCTCCCACCCTGGACTTTCCACAGATATATAAACCCAATTTTCCTAGTTTCCAACAGACCTCACAACCTCTGAGGTTGCCTGCCATAGATGCAGGCAAAACATCAGGAGAGAATGTTTCTTGAACATGGCCATACAGCCTGAAAAATGTACAACAACTCAGTGATTCTGGTCATGTAAACCTTTGACAATATAATAAGATTTTAGTTGCTCATAGTTTTTGCTTGTTGTAAGCCATCCTAGGTCCCAAGGGAAAACGTAGATATAAATTAATTAAACAAACTTTCTTTGTGAAAGATAACATTAAAGGTAAAAAAAAAGTTCCATATCAAACTAGGTGAAAAGAGTTGACAAAATTTCGCTTAAAATTCAGTAGAGTTGCTTGTGAGGCACGGCCATAGGCTGTGAATAGCCATACCTGCTTAGACAAAAAATGCATATATGGGACAATTAATGGGTAATCCATCACCAGTATAGACATTTGTGTATTATGATCCATGGCTTCACAATTTCAACAATGGCCAGGCAGAACAAAATTTCTCAAACTGACAAGTTTCAGAGCTTACCCACCTACATGCAGCACCCATTTTCTCCCCTCATTACCAGTAAGTTTCCCCCAACAAAGTGACACAGCTGGAAAGTTAGGTCATCAAATATCAGCATCTTTCTTCAGAGACGTGTCCTTCTGCTTCCTGGCTACTGACCCAACTGTGCTTCTCATTCATTTGCTTCAGGGTTGACAGCTTTTTCCAGACCTTTGGTGAACCGTGAGGCTGGGCCTGGGAACGGCTCCTTCAACAGCAGCGATTATGATGACATGTGGCCTTAAGAGGCCAGCTTGCAGCAGGGATGCTGTGCCATCTGTTTCTAGCTATGCCCTCCTTCAGAAACAGCCAAAGATGGTCAAGATTGTGTGGACTGCTGGGCCCTTATGGTCACATTACCTCAGCCGTGAGGATCTAGCATTTTGAAAGAAGGCCAGGAAATTCCAGAACCAACTCCTACCCTCAAGGATCACCTAGAAATATAATGTACTCACATAGAGACACAACTTCCCAATTCTTGCTGCTTATAGAGAAGAATACTTTGTATTCTAATCTGAGATTTCCCTTACCTGTTTTTGTTTTGCCAGAGGGTGATATATCATCTTGAAATAGCTGAGATAGGTCTTCTTAAGACCCTAGGACTTGGGTTCAAGCTTCAGAATATAGACAGCTGATGCAAAATAAGCACAAACCAATCACCACCAACTATGCTACATCACCAGCAACTTCTAAAATGCAATTTGTATGATGCAAGAGAGGCAGAATCTAACCTGGTTCTTATTCTAGAGAGAAGATTCCCCACTGGCAGAATTCATAAAGACATTGTTTTCATTGGGAAGAGCTCTTATTTATTGGCAATGAGTGCTTGAATTTCCTGGGAGGATTTGAAGTTTCTGCCCAGGATTAGATGTCAGTACTGTTGTTGAAATTAGATGTCATTGTTGCTTCAGCTGAAGAAAACTGGAATAGCATTTTAGAGGATTAGCCTTCGCTTACATTGTACACAGGGAATTATATACCATATGTGTTTGTATTTTGATACCACAGTTCTGTTGACCGCATTGTCCCTAATGCACGTGGCTGTAAATGAATTCCCAGTCAGATGCAAACATTAAAGCACAGGCTTGATACTGAAGAAGAGTAAGTCTGGATGAGGCATTTGTCTTGCTATTGCTTTGATTCATTTATGAAATTTTACAGGGAGGCCAAGCAGAAACACTTTCCATTTTAACCCGCTTATGTTTTCCCTTGCTGTTGTCTCAGGTCTGTTGCTTCTTTCTCAATTTGAGTTTCTCCCTAATATGGGGGAATGAGGTGCCCCTGATGAGCAGTAATTATTTAGCTCATAATGAATTAGTTTTTCTTCTCTGTGAAGCAGGAGCTTGTGTGTGAGCTCGTTTCTAAAGTGGCAGGTGAGCCATATACTGCACAACACAGGGTGCTTCCAGACTAAAGTAACCCGCTTTCGTATCGTTTATAGTCCCCACCCCCAACCCAAAGCCAAGCTTTCCCAGATGCGGAGGTGGCTACATGCCATCCCGAGTCAAATCTGGATGGCATGAAGCCACCTCAAAGCCCCCCATTTTGGTGTCCAAACTTACCGGATAGGCCTGCCAGCAACACAAGCCTCTCTCTACAGTCCTCCTGGCACGAGAAACTGATGAACCAGGAGGAGGGTATCAAAGATAGTGCATAATAAAAATGAAAATGTGTTTGTATGTATCTATGCATTTTCCAAAATGGCCCCCACATCCAGAGAGCCCTGTGACTCCCACCAACAATGGTTCTAGACCAAACTTGGGACACATACCCAACATAACCAACTTGAAGTACTGGCAGGGTTTCAGGTGAATTGACCCACGATGTTGGGAGTTGTGGTTCACCCATAATCAAAGAACACCATGAACCCAACAATGGATCTAGACCAGACCTGGCACACAAATCCAACATGATCAGATTTGAATACTGGTATGATTTGAGGGGAATTCACCCCTCAAATTTTCTAACATTTCACAGATGAAAATTGGTACACATATGATCAAGCAGCATCAGACTGCAGTCAAGGCAGTAAAAGTAGGAGAAGCTGCAGCAGTTTGCTTTTGCCTGAGCATACTGGGAGAGGGAGGATTCTGCTCTCTCCTGATCTCGCCATCCTGCTATGTTCATTCTGTGCAAAATACTTTTGCACTTTGAATTCAATTTTCACCAACCCTTTCATCCTTCCTTCCCTCTTTCCTCCCTCTTTCCCTCTCTCTTTTTCTACTTCCTTCATTCCCTCCCTCTATTTTGTCTTTCCTCTCTCTCTCCCTTCCCTCCCTTCCTCCATTCCCTTCCACTATTCCTTCCTTCCATCCTTCTCTTCCTCCCTTCCTTCTCTTTTTCCTTCCTCCTTTCCTCCCGGGGGATGTTTAGTTGGGAGAGGAGAAGGTAGAGGAGGAACATGAGAACCATATTTCAAGATTTAAAAAGGTGTCCCATTGAGGAGGAGGGGAAAAACTGACTTTCTGCTGCTCCAGGGCACAAGGGAGCAATGGGTTCGAATGTCAAGAAAAGAGATTTTACTGAAAAAGGTTAGGAAAACCTTCCAGAGAGTAAGAGCTGTTGGAGAGTAGTGTAGGCTGCCTCGGAGTGTGGTGGAGTCTCCTTCTCTGGAGGCTTTTCTGTAGAGGCTGTCTATCACAAGTGCTTTGGTTGTGCCTTCCTGCATGGCAGGGGGGTTGGACTGGATGGCCTTTGGGGATCTCTTCTAATTCTACGATTCTATGATTCTATATTGGGAATAGGCAATACAGGGTCTAATGGATGCACATTTTCTCTCCTGTCCGCCATCTCCTCCTGACCAAGGCTAACCTTTTTGGGATCCAAACATTTCCCATCTTTCCTTCACTTTCTGCCTCTAAAAGAGAAGAGGAAGGGGAGGAAGGAACAGGGAGGGGATTTGGGGAGAACCCCCTCTCTCCCAGCCCACCCATCCCGCTCTGGCAGCTCCAGCTCCTCATGCAGCCCCCAAGTTAGAAAGTTTGTGCATGCCTGGATTAGCTGGTAACTTTTTGTGTTTTTATGGTCTTTTTTAGCTTAAAATTGGTCCCAAAGACCAAAATGTTATAATAAAGTGATAAATGATGCACATACAGCCTATTTGTTTTCCTGTTATATTGGAGGCAGACGGATAGCCCCCCAAAGTCCTCAGTAAAGCAAAAATAGCCCCCAAACAGCACAGGTTGCTCACTGCTGGCCTGTGTCAAAAAGAGTTAGCTCTCCATAGAAGTCAGTTTTAGCTTCTATGCCATCTTCAGGGAACTAGGATTAGTACTTTACACAATATCTGCAAGCACATGTTAAACGTGCTTGATCTTTGTGAGAAATGGAAGAACATAAAAGACACACAAATGTTATCTTTAGAATGTATTCATCCCCCTCCCCTCTTCCATATGTTAGTCTCTCTGAAACAAAGCACTAGGCCAGATATGATGGAGGGGTAGAGACTGCAAAGAGAATTTACTGCAAAGAGAATCAGAGTTAAAACAACAAGAATACTCAGTGGTGCATTCTCCATGGACAGAGAGCAGATGTTGAGTCGGTACAAATATATCTCTACCTTTTTTCAACCTGCATTCCAGAAATAAAACCTACACATCCTATCCTCCAGCAGAAACTCTGTGGATTCTTGGTGCTGTCTGGAATAATAACATCCACGCCACCTCTCAACTGGAAGTTATTTATGCTGAGCATCACCTCAAGGGAGGGAAGCTCTCCGCTGGTTAAGTCTCTGGAGACAATGCATGCAAAAGATCTCTGCAATCCAAGAGAAACTGCTCTGAGGTATATACAATAATTCATGGAAGAGAATGAAACAGAAATTATTCAGGGGCATGTTACAATTCCCTCCAGCCTGCAATGTAACAATCCACAGGAGGAGAATGGGAACATGTCGGCAACACAGGATTTTCTATGTAACTTTGACATAATGTTTCAGTCGACCTTAACCAATGACCCTACAAGGAATAGTTACAATATTTGGGACTATTTTGTTTAGAAAAAGGGGGAGGGAAAGTATGCTAGAGTTACATAAAATTATGAATGGTGAGACAAATATTAATAGGGAGATTTTTCCCTGTCTGCCATAATACTAGAACCTAGAGCCTATTTACCCTACAGAATTCTGGCTCTATGGTTCCACGTTAACGGCCATAGTCCTATGTATAAAATCCTGGGATTTGCAGTTTAGGGAGGGGCCATTAGAATCCTCAGCCATAGAGTTCCTTTGCTGCCTCTGATCCAACTACAAATCCCATGTTTCCATAGGATACAATTGGCAATTAGGGTGAAATAATAGCACTATAATTGTGTGATTTTTTTTTGTCGCGTCAGGAGCGACTTGAGAAACTGCAAGTCACTTCTGGTGTGAGAGAATTGGCCATCTGCAAGGATGTGCTCAGGGGATGCCCAGATGTTTTGATGTTTTATCATCCTTGTGGGAGGCTTCTCTCATGTCCTTGCATGAAGAGCTGGAGCTGATAGAAGGAGCTCATCCATGCTCTCCCAGGATTCGAACCTGTGACCTGTCGGTCTTCAGTCCTGCCGGGACAGGGGTTTAACCCACTGCACCACTGGGGACAGTGAATGTGAATGGGTTCTTGTGATCATTCATTGATGCTCAGTGAGAAGAGACTGAGAAGAGACAAAAGGCTGTACCTCTTCATTCAGTACGAAACTATAACAATCACTGTCACATGAGGTGGTGATAGACATCAGCCTGGACAGTTTTAAAAAGCGATTAGGAAAACTGTAGAAGGTTGTCAATTGCTACTAGGCATAATGGCTGTATATTACCGCCAATGTAGGAGGCAGTAGGCATCTGAACAATGCCAGTTGCCAGGGAAACACAACCAGAAAGATGTAATATTACTCATGTCCTTGTTGTGTACTTTTTTGTTGCCCATCGTGGCAACAGAATTAGGCTCAATATGATGATAATACAGTGGCATATAATGGTGGCCTTCCACAGATTGCATCAGTGCAATAATACCTTTGAAAACAATTATTGGGCCACATGAATAGAAGGCTGCTATTCTGTTTGTGCCCTCCTCATGGGCTTTCCACAGGCATCTGGATGGCGACTGTGGAACTTTAGGCACCAGACAAATAGAGAGGCCTTTATCCTTCTGACAATTTTACATCATTATGAAGATCTATGTCCTGTTTGCTCTGATCCTTTCTTTATTTCTGAGAGAGCCTTGCTAGATCAAAGGTCTCACAAGAGCCGGTGCACTCTGTCTGCAACAATGCCAGCTGAGCAACCTTGAACATCCTTGAATGCCTTTTATATATTTCTGGGAATCAGGTAGTGAGGAGCATTTTGCCTCTTTGTCTCTAAACAAAAATAAACAAAAAAAAGCCATTAAGAACAGAACTAGGTAAAATTATTCTCTCATTTTTGGACTGCAGCTCCCAAAAAGCACCTAGTATGAATGCTGGATTCTAAAGTTATGCCTTTTCCGAGGCCTGATTTAGACTCACATCATTGCTTATTGTAAGCAATTTATATTGACGATTG